AAAAAAAAAAAAAAAAAAAAAAAAAAAAAAAAAAAAAAAAACGGTGCCCGAACAGATAAGCACCTTGCTTCGCTAACCCCACGTTGCTGGAGGAATCTCAAAATCGTTCTTTGTGCCTCTGTGCGTGCATGGTGCCACTCTAAACAGTGGTTTGTTTTGCTGCCGTTGTCTGTGCTGTCCCTTCAACAGGCGATCTGTTTGCTGTCGACGCAGAAGAGGCCTGCGCCCTGCGAGGCCGGCGGAACCAGAAAGCGAAAGGTCCGACTTGTTTGATTTTCAGAACCGGGAAAATTCTTGTTCTGGGTTGCAGAAGCCCAGAAGAGATAAATGCAGCAATTGACTTCGTCTGGCCGGCCCTTGTAGGACTTTAAAGAAGGCCTCATGCGCTGGACAGCTTCATCAACTGTATTCCCGCTTTTGTTTTTGCAGCCTGCTATTTCTCATTTCCAACCGCAGCAATTTGTGCTGCAGAAAATTCAGAGAGACTACCTGGCTGTCCAATCATTGACGAGTCAACTACAAACATTGTGGATGCAGCCAGCTAGCCACTTTCCCTTCTCAAAGCCAGTTTTCATCCAACTAGCCACTTCGCCTGCAAATAGCTACCATTGCATGCAAAGCGATGCCACTTGCATGAACTGCTTAAATATTCGTTCCACTGGGCAGACACTAGACGAAATGACATTCTGGGGAATCTATGCTTAGCTCTGTCAGCTGGTCACAATGGAGTGTTGTGCATGTGAATTGCAATAAGCTACAGCTTTCCCAGTTCCTGCAGAATGGTCTAACCTCGACAAAAGAGAGGGTTAGAAAGAGGAGCGATGCTCAACTTCCTTGCATGCGTAGACAGGTGCTGACCAGTTGTTTCGGAGTGCGTTGTGGCTTTCTTATGCCACCTGAAGCACCAGTTTGGGGTAAATACACATCGAGATGAGTTCTTGCAAGAGGAGTTTGCAAGCATAGGGAATGTAGACTTGTGATATTTTGTTGCTGTTCCCGCACATTTTGCATTCGAATGCAAGGCGCTGCAGATCAGCAACACACATTGTTCCGCAGATGTCGCAGCAATGAATCCTGTAAGCATCACTTTGGTCAAAGAGGCGTTCCTTGAGCATGCGAGCAGCCCCGTGCGATATCATGCAATCCCGCTCCATCTCCCCGAAACGCAGGCCTCCTTCTCTGCTTTTGCCCTCCATGGGTTGCCGCGTCAGAGCAGCTACAGGGCCGCGAGCTCGCGCATGTATTTTGTCGTCGACCATGTGCTTCAGCCGCTGGTAATACGTAGGCCCAATGAATATCAAAGAAGGCATGTGCAGACCCGTGTGCCCGTGGTAAAGGCGTTCGTTGCCGTGGCGCTCGAAACCCAAACGATGCAACTCCCCAGCAATCCAGGACACCGTGTACTGAAGAGCACAACAAGAGTGATTATATATATATATATATATATATATAAT